CATAATTCCTTATGACGAGATAGCCCAACATCAGAAAACTGATGAAGAACTGTTACGTTACATGAATTTAGACACGGGACTAAAGCTTTTAAGAATGCCTACTGACAGTTCTGATAACATTTCACTTTACTGTGACACTTCTACCGGCAAACCGCGACCCTTCATTCCTACGCCGTTTAGAAAAACCGTTTTCGATGCAATACATAATCTCTCACATCCAGGAGTTAAAACCTCAGTTAGGTTAGTTCGCGAGAGATTCGTATGGCCAAAGATGCAAAAGGATTGCGCACTTTGGGCACGCGCTTGTTTAAGTTGTCAAAAATCTAAAGTGTGGAAACACAATGCTAGTCCAATCGGCAGATTCGCCATTCCTGATGCACGTTTTGATCATGTTAATATCGATATAGTAGGACCCCTTCCAACTTCTCGTGGTTTCTCATATTGCTTAACAATGATAGATAGGTTTACGCGATGGCCAGAAGCCATACCCATTTCCGATATTTCTGCTGAAACCGTTGCCGAAGCATTTTATAATGGTTGGATATCTCGATTTGGTTGTCCTAGTAACAACTGATAGAGGAACTCAATTTGAATCCTCATTATTTGCAGAGTTAAACAAAATCATGGGCATAACCAGATCAAGAACAACTGCTTACCATCCGGCGTGCAACGGTAAAATCGAAAGATGGCACCGAACCCTTAAGGCAGCACTTAAATGTCACTCTTCAAATCGTTGGACTGAGAAACTTCCCACTGTATTATTAGGTTTGCGAGCCAGCATCGTAGCCGATATAAATTCATGTCCGGCCGAAATGGTGTACGGAAATACGATTCGATTGCCCGGGGAATTTTTGCAGCCTACTGAAAATCATAAACCAGGTTTATTTTTGGGTAGTCTTAAAGATTACATAAGTAAACTGACCCCTACTCAGACACCTATGCATGGTAACAAACAAATTTTCATACATCCTGATTTAAAAAATTCTGAATTTTTATTTGTCAGACATGATGCTGTAAGGAAACCCCTACAACCTCCTTATGACGGTCCTTACAAAATCCTCCAAAAATTAGACAAATATTATACTATCGACATAAACAGAAAAACCAAAAATATTTCAATAGATAGCCAGCCTATACCCTAAATGACAATTTTCAAAATTTTACTCCTGATAACGACGACAGTAGTGACGACCATGTCAGTTGCACACCGCCAGTCCACCAAGGGAAGGAAACTTCGCGGGGAAGAAGAGTGAAAATTCCAAGAAGATTTTTACAGTAACGCTCTCGCTAGCGGGGGAGTACTGTAGTTGCCTGTGGTCCTGACATTAGCAGAAGCCTTTTTGACACTTAATTTTGTTTGTTCGTTAATATTTATTTCTGTCTTGTTAATCATTCAAATTAACAACAATAAAAACTGTGATAGTGTAAAGTGGTGTTTTAATACAATTTAACCTCTAAGACCCACAATTCCAAAATTCAAAATGGTGTACCTCAAATGGCGGACCCGTAAGAGGTTCTTTTTAAAATGTAAATAAAACATCTTTATATAAAATAGCTTAGTTTAGTTTATTATTATTACATTTATATGATATTATTTAATACCTACAATGTATATTAAACAATCTCCGTCACTGGATTCGCTAAAAAAATTGTCAACACAAATAACCACAATTCAAATTTGACATTAACACACTATAATGCGCATGCGGAATTGTTTTAACGCACCTACAAGAGGTGGGTTAAATATGTAAAATCGTTGTTAAATATCTTAGTAGTCACGAACGATTTATGCAAGTGAAAGTCTAGACACCGCTGCAGCGCGCTGTTGTTTGTAATAAACGTTTTGAGTTAAATCCGAGTGAATCGAGTAAACTTCATGAACGCAACCCAGAAATAAAAAAAAATCTTATATTTTGTAAATCAAAAACACAGATACGCGCGTGACATGTAGTTTTAAAGAGCCGGGGGCGAGTTGGGGCCGATAATTTATTGATAGCTTGATAGACAAAACTCTAAGCTATTCAACGGATCTTAAACTGATGCCTTACAATTCATTACAATTTTTGTAGCTCCATTGTTCTAAAAGCTCGATTCAAAGTTTGCGATTTTAACAGACCGATCTTGTCGGTTACAATAACCCGTTGTACAAGCAAAATCTACGAAAAACAAATACATATCTGAATTTTACATACCTTGAAGATCACCCTTCATCAAACCGCATAACAATCGGACACACCAAACACAAGTTATTCACTTTTAAACAATAAACAATTTTCCGCAGCGATCGCTGAAAGCGTCAAGTTTAAACTGATGTACAAGACAAAATATACGTATTTTTTATATATATTTTTTTTAATACAGGATAGAGACAGGTAGTAACTTCCCATCTAACTCAAAATTTACCTAAAAAAAATGTCAATTTTTGAGGATTTGCCGATATTTTCGAGAATTGAAACACTGTGCGTCGCCCAAAAACACATTATATAGCTGTAAAGTTTAGTGGTCGACAGGTTTCTTGCTACCTGTTTTCCAACTCTTTTAGTCCGGAAAATAAGCTGTTACTACTACTAAAAAAAATTAATTTTGAAGGTATATTTTTAAACATCTATTATTTTTATTTTTAACACTTTTATTTTCGAACTTGCTCATCATATTTATTAATACTACGCAACCAGTACCGTAAATATTAGCATGTGTGTAACTGTAGGTTAATAATGTTTACATATGCATATGCAAACTTTGTGCCTACCTTCCTCACAGATAAACTCGTAAATACGAAAACTAAACAAATTTCATTGCCGTTCAAAATAATTTGTCGCTCCAGCACAATGACTATGTCATACTTAACTATAGCAACATTCTTACAATTAGTTTAATTGTGCTTGATAATTATCCGAAAATGTATTAAAGTGTTATAAATTAAATTTAATATGGCTAATAGGCGATTTGGGAAGAACTATAGACGTAAGTTATAAATTTAATGATAAAATGTTATCTAGATATCAGATAATACGAAGTAAATAAATGGTTTTTACATTGTATCAGTCAATAAATACTAAATAACTACATTTAACATGTGTAATAGGCGTTTTGAAAATTATGGTAAGTGTATGTTATAATAAAACAAAAACATAGCATTTTATTGTGCGACTAGTGGGAGAAAGAAGAGATTCCTCGGGCGTAGCAAGTGCTGTAACAAGCGATTGGAATATCCTCTTCTAATCAATAGTTGGACTCAATATTTTATTCAACTACCGCAAGGAATTTAACGCAAATTTTGATATTTTATCTAATAGTTTTAACCTAACTTTTTTCCCTTAACTTAAAGTCAACTTCAGTCCGTTGGCGAAATGGCATTTCACCCACGGGTTAAAGTTAAGAAATGAACAATTAGGGAATTTATTTAAAAGCTTATTTTTTATTTCTAAAAACTGTTACTTAAATGTACTTTGCTGGGTTTGTTAGATTGCATCCCTGAACCCTGAAATATAAGGTTTAAAATAAAATTTTAGAGGTTCTGCCAGCCATTCAGCTAACAAAAAGGCTAAAATCTAATAATCTAAAAAAATGCCCATGCCACTTTTTTGTGAGCAAATCACCGCGTCAATTCCATCGGCAAGCTTGTGAAGTCCTGCTACTAAATCCTGGAAAACCCTGTATATTTAATTTAATAAATGTTCTCGAAATGGGCTAAAATCAATATAATATATTTTTTCTACTCCCACCTTTAAAACGCCCTTTATCGTACATGTTTCCATGACACTAAGTGACCTTTTAAATACACATTGACAAGTTGTGGCTTTATGGCGCTTTAGTCACATGCTGAAGTTAGCAACAGGATTTTAGTCACGGGCTGAAGTTAGTTTTAAGTTGTCAAATGTCATACAATCGTTAAAATAAAGTGCCTTTCTTGTAAAATAATACTAAATGTAAAAATTATTTTATTATCTCCATACAAAAATACAAAAGTATTAAATAGTTTCTCAACGCCAATATTTGAAAAGTTTATATGAACATTGTACTGACCTTTTAATTTCGCCGGCAGTAAACTATAACTTAAATTCGGGCACGGACTCCACTGTAAAGTGCTCATAAAACATTTTCTTTACTTTCACTGTGAAAAACTGTAAATTTTCAAGAAATACATTTCGATTTATAACCTTTATAATCTTTGTTTATAAAATATAAATATTTGACATTTGACGGTGACACACAGATTCCCCTATTGTTTCATAGATGGCGCTATATACAAATTTTTGAATTAAATCATTTTAAGATAAGTATTTGTCGTAGAAAAAGAATGGTATGCACCTCGTTTATAAACTTTTCTATACACTCATGTATAGAAATTCGTGTATAAAATGGCGTTTATCAAACTTGATACATAATATACTATTTTGTAAACAGCGTTTTAGTGTTGAAATTTTTGAATTTGATTGTTCCTTATATCTTAAAAACCCTAAAAATAACAATAATATTACATTTTTAAATATACATACCTATGTATGATGTATACATTGTATATTTTAAAATATACCTTTGAATTGGGACGTTTTTCTTTTATACCGATAATGCGATTAATTTTGATAAAAGATTTTTTTTCTTTGTTTTGTGAAATATTACACAAACCATCGTAGATTTCAGAAACAAACTGCATCAAATAATTACTTGTTTTTTTTTTCATAATTAAAAGTTTTGTCCGAAACGGAGGTGCCATGGCCCCAAAACACCTCTGTCATAAAAATGTTTTACTTTATTACCCACGATGTTTTAAAAAAATCGGAATTTAAGGGTTTTTTAGATATTATAATGTGTGAATTACAAAATATAAAATAAAGTAATATATTACTATATTACTTATATTACTTATATATTATATCTTTAATCTTTAATTACTTATATATTATAGCTTTAATGTTTTGGTGCATTATTTTTTATTTTAAATTATTAAAGCTAATTTAACTAGATTAAATAAAAAATATAAATTAATAAATTTTTAGGTAAGCCGATTCCCTACGATCCTGATTTCAAGGGCCCTTTGAAAAACAGATCATGCACAGATATAATATGTCTCTTACTTTTTGCTGTGTTCATTGTATGTTGGGTTTTAGTTGGAATCTTTGGTAAGGAAATATTTTAAACAATTTTTTTTTATAAATAATATATTTTTTTTATTTTAGCCATTAAAAATGGAGATCCTGAATTACTATTTGTACCAAGGGACTCTTTAGGGCGAAGATGCGGACTGGACCATGGTGTAGAGGATAAAAAATATTTGTTGTTTTATGATTTAACAAAATGTTTGAAAGTGCAGGTGCCTTTTACAGGATGTCCAACCAAACAGGTATTTACCTAATATTTACGTTTGTACCATTTACCATTACGTTAACATGGTTGACAAATTTATTTTCTAAAATATTATTTATAATAATAAGCGGTAATCAATCTGCACCACGGTACCGGGTTCGATTCCCGGTCACAGCCTTGGGTGTTGTGGTTGTGGAAAGAGCAAAAAAATATATAATAATGAGCTGGCTAAATAGTCGAAAAGACTAAAAGCCAATAAACCTTAAAAAAAAAAAAAAATTATTTATAATAAATTTTTATTGTTATAATAATAAAAATTGCTGTAGCAACTTTTCACTTTTGAAACGGGATTAGTAAATTAGTAACTAAAAGTTTTAGGCACATATATGCCACTTAAGTCTGACCACTTTGTTAAGTTTAAAATAAATTTATTTTAAACTTAACAAAGTGGTCAGACACGTCAGACGATTAGGAGGACGATACGGATTTTTTTTAAGTGCTTCATAGCCTATGTTTTTTATTTATATGAAAAACTTGCTGCGATAAAAATTTTGAGCTAAATATTTAAAATAAATTGACCACACGTCTGACGACGACACAAACGATATCGTCATTGTTGGTAGGGGAGACACATCCATTCCCTTGTATCAGAGCTGGGAGTATCTTGAAAAAAAAGATACTTAAAAGTAACTTAAATACTTAGAATATCTAAGATACTTTATCTTAGATACTTTTTATATTGGACAGAAAGTATCTATAACTTATATACTTTGGAAAAGTACGTATCTTGTAACTTTTATCTAAATAAGTATCTTAGTTACTCGGTATAGTAACTAAGATACTTTTCAGTGTTGTAGCATTAAATTTTTCTTAATGCGACAATTCATTTTTAATGATAGGTTTAAGTCTTGAAAAGTATTTTATTTAAAAACTAAATAAATGTATTAATGTTATGTTGGTTGCCTATATTATGTTATAAATAATTTAAAGTAATTGTTTATGTTTTGTCCTATTTTTGGAATTTCCTTTTATTTTTGTTTGAATTCATAAAGTAAACTAAAATTATAAAAAGGCGTTTATATGGTTAAACTGAAAATAATTTATCAATACTTACCTTTTTTTTAGTTTTTATAAAAGTTATTTTGTTAACTTTTGACTATCGATATCCATTTATTTTTGAACTTGTTCTAAAATCCAATTGTTTTATTTAAATGGGAAGTCAGTCTTCAAAAATCCCCTGATCAAATTAAATATTAAAGGTATACTTATCTTTCTAATTAATTTAAATATTTGGCGCGGTTTATAATTAGTAATTTTTGGTCACGCACACCGAATTCTTCGATGCACGTGTGGATTTAAAATCACGGGCATTTATGTTCGATGCATTGCGTCTTGCGTACCTACCTGCATATAAGATTTTTGAGTTTCACTTTCAAATTGATTAAAAGTGAGTTTTCTATTGCCGGAAAAAATCTGTAAGTTTATTTTAATTTATTTTGAAGGCAAATATTTATTTTATTTTCCTCCTATAGGGCTTTTTCGGTATATGCATTTTCGGTATATACTTTCCTTTTTTGGTATATCCATTTTCTCCATTTTTTGTACCATTACGGTTTTGCCGTGTACTTAAGTAAATTTGTGCATCCTACTTCAATTACGGTTGCTGTCTGCAACAAAAGTTTTCAACTTGGAAAATCTGGGAAGAAACAAATTCACGTGGCCTGTTTCCTGTCGCAAGAATACTTACGCCGACTTCACGAGGAGCAGCCCTTCCAAAAAAAAAAACGTTCAAGAAAGAATTCTGGAAGAAAGAACATCATCAGAAAAATAAACCAAGAAATAACATCATCAGAAAAATAAACCAAGAAAGAACACCATCAGAAAAAAAAACCAAGAACGAACACCATCGACGCCAGACGAAATTTGGAACTGGTATTATTTTTTATTGTTTTTTTCTCCACTATTTTCAATAAAAACAATTGGTGCCCAACTTATCTTAATTTTCTCAACCTCTAGTAAAAATATAATCCACGAACCCAGCTCTCCTAACCACTGAGTGTCCGAAATCCATGTACCATTAGTTTGGTTACAGTGTAACAGATACTTTCTTAGAGAAAATTGGGGGATTCCAGAATGAGTCAAAGTAATTACCTAACCTAACTTGTTGAATTTTCATAATTTTATAGTTTTTATTCATACTTAAAAATAACTAAAAGTGTCTTAGTTACTTAAAAGTATCTTAGTTACTCAAAAGTATCTTAGATAATTTCGGATTTTAACATAATATTTAATTATTTTAACAAAGGAAAATATTTTACCGACAATACAATTCATTATAATTAGAACTAATAAAATGCCAGTATTCCATAGTTACGCATTTTATCACAGCGACAATATTTATCACCTTGTTTATACGTTGCTAAGGATTTTGACACTTTTCTTGATTTGACATTTGTGGACATTTAAATACTGTGTTTGTTAAATGATTAAAATAATGAATTATAAACTCTAAAAGATCGATGGGTTGGTGTAAACGTTGTAAACGTTGGTGTAAGTTTAAATAAATAACGTTTATTAACGTCTTTTTATATTTTAAAGCACATTTTTATTTCAAATGTCAAACTGACAATTCGTTAAATTCTAAAATTCATTTTATTTTCTCACTAAATATAACTTGTGGTATGATTAATTATCGATGATATTTACTCATTGAAACCGAAGCAGCACATTTCAGCTCGGTTTCAATTCGAAAATATCATCGATGATAATCGATGATAATTATAATATATATATGATGATTATAATCATACCACTTGTTATATTGTAAAAGTTTTGTAAAGGTAATATGCAATTTTGTAAGCATTTTGTTAATTTTAAAGGTTAAAGATTATTTTGTTAATGTATTAATACTGAGTACCAAAGTACCAAATTTTTTAAAATTTGATGATTTCAGAATCGTGTTTTATTTAATTGTGTGTATGTTATTTTTGTGTTCATTTATGTAGGTATGTGTTAATTTTTTTGTTTAGGAAATTGTTTAATTTCTTTTCAAAATTATTTTCATTTAAGTTTCCAATTTCCAACAAATACTTTTGTTACTATAAAAAGGTTTGTAAAAATAAGGCCCTTTTAAAAATTACAAGAATTATGGTTGAATTATTTGTTATAGTTACAAACTACTTATTCAATTAGTTAACAGATCACAGCTCCACATAAAGTTATGTGGACCTAGATTAACATAAAATATGGTTAATATTTGGTTAAAATTAACAAACATTTTTTTACTGTGTACAATTCATATCCTCTATCCTCTATTTATCATCTTGCTCGCCCTGACCTATTGGCTGGCGATGCCCTTAATACGCACGTATGCTTTTCAGTAAGGTATTTTTTCTAATATTTATTTTTAAATTTTAGATTTGTGTAAAATCCTGCCCAGATAAAGTCCAGGTAGGACCAGATTACGATAGTAATTGGCGTCAACAATTTTGTGATGTAGATTGTCCCCCGTGGGTTCTGCCTAGTAAACCAGGTTTGTAAAGTAATTTAATAATAATAATAATAATAATAATACACTGGTCTACACTGCACCTACATATTATGCCCGAAATAATTTTTTCACGGTTTTTGATTTTATAAAAAACTCATAATAATTGAAATTAATTTTAAGTACCTATTACTTGTTATTATTTTTGTTTAAATGTGCAGTCTGTGAAGTAAGATCGTACCTAGCATAATGTTTGGTCGATATTGCTAAGATCCTGAGGTTACATTTGTATGGACATTTTACATATCCTTGTATTTTTTCTAAGAAATGTATAAAAATTATAATTACTATTTTTGTAAATGAAACGATTATGCAGAAATCCTGATAAAGAATGTGTAAATGTAACGGTGTCCACATTCTTTATTAGTATCAGGACATATTTTAATACTACCTAAAACTGATAAAGAAAGTGGGTGCATAATATGCACTGCATATGTATACTGTATACATGTATTCTGAGTACAGTATTTATGCAAATACAAAATAAAAAATAATAATGTAGATATAACTATATCTACCTATACTGCCCAACTATGGAAAAAGGCAGTAACTGCTAAACAAGAAATTTGTGGAAAATTAGCATAACCACATTTTTATAAAAAGTTGTAGGTGTTTAATTAATTGATTTTTTTAACTTGTGAGATAGTTTACTGCCTTTATTTGTTGAAATATGATACAAAATGTCCATATATATAGCCATATATATATATATATATATACCATAGTACAATAAACACATTTTAAATTGCTAGTTACTGCCTTTCTCCATATATGGAGAAAGGGATGATACAGGGATAAAGCAACTAGCAAAATATTTATATATAGTAGGGCATGCCTATGTTTTTCCTAAGGAAACTGCGTAGATACGTTTCTACAGTTTCACGTGTAAGCAGTAAATTTTCCCAGGTTTAAGTAGCGGATTTGGAATAGTTATTTGTTTTAGAAGACTTAGTGTTGAAAAGCGAGTGTTTAAGTTGGCAATCATTAGCACGAACTTTAAAAATGCCTATTTGAGAAGTAATATATTTATTTTGAACACCCTAAACACCCCCCTGAATCCGCCACTGTGTATCATAGAGAAAAGATCTATTCTCTATAATTTATATTTGGAGAAATAAACAATGTTCAGATTGCATTCTTTAACTTAATCAAACTTTTCTCGTACGCTGCCGGTATAATATTAAATACAAAATTATTCTAAATATTGTATTTACATATTTTAGAAAGGAGCAATATTTAAACATGGGTCGCAATTATTTTTTAAATTAAATAACTAAAACCTAAGACACCCTTGTATATTTTAAATAATATTTGATAAAACAGAATTTTTATAAGATATTTGTAAAAAATCTTGTTATAATGTCATCAGTATACTTTTAATGATGTCAAAACTAATTAAACCAATTAAAAAGGTCGGGACAATAAGGGACTTAAAACTCATTAAAAACATATTAAGTAAACAAGGTTTAAATTTTTTATTTCAACCCTAAAATTTGTTATTTGGTTAGTGTTCAGTTTTATATGATATACCTATTAAATCACTTAAATTGCATTAAAGGCCATAGTTTAAAAAAATGTTTTATTTTCATTTCAGGACTGAAATGAAAAATGTTTAAACTTGTTTAGTACAGTTAATCTGTCGGAAAAAAAGCTTAACTCATTTTAATAATAAGTGACAGTCTGGCGACTAAATAGTGCAAAAAACTTTTATTAAATGCAAACAAGGAAAAAATATTATCCTTATGTAGGGTGGCCAACCGGGACATTAAAAATAATGTTTTTTTTATTAAATATTACAATAAAGCTACATTTTAACATAAACATTCAATTTTCTTAGTTTCTTTTAAGAAACTTTTTTGACCCATTACTGGTAATATTCATAAGAAAAAATTGAACCTACACCTCGCCAAAGTTTTTTGTTTTGAGTGCGTTCCATCAACTTCAAATACCGACAGACAGCTGATTCGACCTATATTGGGTCTCATCAGTGTCGAGCAACTTGGTGTAGTGAAACACACTCAAAACAAAGGACTCCCTGAGCTTATATGCTCGGTTGGTAAGCCAACAGAGGCGAGATGTAAGAACACGTGACGGTGTGGATAACCTGATGTTCTTACATCTCGCCTCTGTTGGCTTACCAATCGAGCATATAAGCTCAGGGAGTCCTTTGTTTTGAGTGTGTTCCACTACACCAAGTTGTCCGACACTAATGAGACCCAATATAGGTCGAAACAGCTGTCTGTCGGTATTTGAAGTTGGTGGAACGCACTCAAAACAAACAACTTTGGCGAGGTTTAGGTTCAATTTTTTCTTATACATTTTAACAGCAAAAATTTAAATATTTATTATTTAGAAAATAAAAGCAACAACAAAAGCCAAAGCAACTTTTGCCTATTAAATAATACGGGAGACTTATAAATATGTGTCTAGGAGCTCTTTTGCAGAAATCATGCCATATCCTTGTAATGTGTTGACAAACGTGAATATCTACCTGTCGCGAGTCGGGTCTAAGTTCGTATATTGAATGGGCCAAGCACAAGCCCAGGGATAAACCACAAGTCAAGCCCAAGCGCGACACTATCCCGACCATGTTACAAGAAAACAAGGTATGTTCTTTAGTTGGACAAATTTCGGTTCACTTTGCGTACCACCCAGTTACCGCCATCTTAGTTCATTCCCGTCTTTGAATTTAAATGATATTTTAAATTGAAATATTATTTTCTTTTGAAATTCATCCAAATTTCTACAAAATTATACGATTTTTAGATTTAGATTTACATCTAAGTCAAAGTATTAACATTTCAAGAAAATATTATTAATGAAAAAAACTATTTTATATGGTTTTTCAATCAAATAAAATATATTGTTCTAAAGTAAATAATATTTACTAAATGCCAAATAAAATAGGTATATGAAAAAAGTGCTAAGAAAAAGTTAATTTTAGTTTTTAGATTAAAGTTTTAAATAATTATTATAGGTTTTTAAATAAAATATCTTGTTTTAAAGCTATTTATAAGTCAAATGTTTTCAATAAAATAAAATATCCTCTTTTAAAGCAAATATAAAAATTAAATGAAACGTGTCAAGTTACAACATTAACATTGCAAAAAAAATGTAAACAACATATGTGACCTGTACTATATAAAGGTACTTATGGTCGGAAGAATCAATTTTTGTTTTTTGATCGAAATTTATAGAAAATTGAACGTATTTTTCAATGGAACAAACCGCAGACTCCTAAGTGAACCTTTTGCTGGAAATCATCCTTAAAGTTCAACATGAATTATAAAAATCGCAAAAAAAGTTGTAAATAGATCAAGAATTGCTTTTTTTGATCTTTTATTTTCGTCAATATCCTGAAGAGACATTGAAAGACGAATCTAGTAAGTCATCTTCTATGTCACTAACACCTGCACCTCCACCTCCAACTTGATCTTCGTAATCTTCATCACAATCCGGAAAATATTGTTTCTTCACTGCTTTAAATTCTTCTTCTAAATCCATTCTGCACTTTCACAAACTAAAACAATTTTAAATTAGCTGCATAACAACGAAAAACCACGATCTCGAAAATAGAATGATAAGAAAAGCAGCACGTATTATTCCAACTTTTTCAACGTTCACAAAATTAGCTATTTAGAGGAAATCACTTGAATAAGGTACATGAGTATGAGTATGGGAACGTATGGCAGGCCCCATCACATGCGTATCCCGCCAATTCATAGTTTGTGTGTTTGTTGTATCCGAAGTTTTTACGCCGGCTAGCCGCGGCTGGTAGATCCACCCTAGGAGGTCGTGGATGACAGTGTCTATGGTTAAGGCCGCTCCACGGATTTTTGTCAGCCGGGTCGGGCCATACGTCCAATTTAGGAAGGTTTTTGGAGGACATTGAACTGACCCAAAACTAAGTACAATCCGGAATCCTCATCAACCAGGGCTTTAGTTGGGATTCCTGAATGGGGGTTGGTGGATTAGTATGCTGCTAGAGCCTACCCTTGTTGGTGTACTTCCTGTTCGTGGCTGTCCGAGTCGGATTTCGGTTCCTGGTAGCCGCTTTAGAATTGTTTGCCCACCTGTGCGATATTGAGTCATATCTTCAGAACCGAAGTGTTGCCGGCCGCAACCCGCCGTAATTAGTGCCCTCTGACTACGTGGGAATTCAGCCCCTCATGCCGAGTACCGACTTCATAAGCAGCTGTTTGTCCCGCCTTTGTTTAACCTACTGAAATTGCCGATACCCTCGAATCTTTACCTCACTGTGCGTGATCCCCATTCATTTTGGGTTATGATGGGGACTTGATTGGCTATTATGCTGCCAGGGTCCATCCTTGCGCCTCACTGTGCGGTGCGGCTGTTTATTTACGCATGGAACGGTTATTTACTTAATTTATGGTCCCCTTAACGTCTTAGTAATCTACAGATGTTTATTTCTTTAAGAGATTTCTTTTGCCTAATGTTTATCGTAACTTGAGTGATTAATGGCTTCTTATGTGTGCAGGATTTCGTATTAACTAGTATTAATATTATTGGGTATTATATGGTCTTGCAATTTTGGTAACTACTTATATAATTTATGCAGACTTGGACTTCGGGATAATTGCCAGGCAGGTGTGATGAAATTGATCCTTAACGCATGCCGCCCGCACGTGTGGTAGTCCAGGAAATTATTCATTGGAACGTCTCTTTTACACCTTTTATCCAGGTAAAACACTTGAGGACTTAATCCAGGGGGGAGGTACCACACACAATTTGCACTCTTTTGCACTTGGGTCAGTTATCACGTGTAGAATCGATATTGATTTTTTTGTTATTGAACTTTAGCGGTGATGAAACTATGAAACAAAGTACGCGCCTATCGAGATGCTTAACGCGACCGCTCAGCTCAAGACTCACTGCGTCACTGAGAGGAAATCACTTGGTACAAAAATATTTATTGTAAAAACACCACTGTATAGTGGAAGTCTAAAGAGAGGTGGAGAGCCAAGGGTAAGACGAAAAAAGAAGAGGTAGAAGCGCAAATACAAACGCGACGCACTTGATTTCTAACCATAGGTACCTTTCCGTAGTCCAGGTCACATATTTTTTCTAAATTTATTTATTACAAAATTGTATTTGCAAATAATTGCAATTTAGGTTTATTTGCCAAATAAACTGGCCACCATGAAGCCAGCATTGAATATACCATATAAGCTGGTTTTCTAATACTTTTGGGATGTTTTAATCCCGGACCATTTCATTATCACATTTTCTGCACAATGCAAAAAGAAAGATTTAATTTTGATTAATTTTGTTTTTTAAATTTTATTTTAATTTCACTGCAGTACTTGATTTCTTAGAGTTTAAGTTTCTGTTACGGGCTATCTTCGAAGATCATGTTATGCTTCCTGGTTTTGTCCTATTTCTTGTACACTGTAAAAAGACTATCTTGAAAGTAAATGGAGCAAATGAAAGTTACAAAACAAACAATAATATTAACGTTAACGTAAATTATTTTTTTATTTATATCTGTCACTGGTTTACAGTCAAAATGTACCTTGAGTGCGACTATTTTTTTCTGATGTATTTTGGCCTGCTAAACTCGAAAATGACAATAAAATTTTTTTTATGGCAAGATTTTCCAAATAAAAAATTGTCTTTGATTTTTCGATGCCGGCTTTACTATTTGGGATATATCTCGAGTTTGAAATGGCCAATTTGATTACAACAGATGTCAAATTAAACCTAATTAACATAATAACAAATGTAATTGTATAAATGCCCAATTAGTCAATAAGTTTAGGTGCAATGGGGCCAAATATCGAGAAAAAGTCAATTTTTTGGACAAAATTAGAATTAAGTATTTACTATTTGACCAAAAAGAAGCAAAAATCATTAAAATATGCCCATTTTTTGAATATCTACAAGTAGTAATTCTATGGATAAATGTCAAAGTTATGACACCCCTTAATAATTTGTACATATCGTGGGTTGAGTATTATATTGTTCTATAAATCCAAAATGAAATGGTTGGGAAAAGGCGATTAAATATTCCAGGCTCATTCTAATACCGTTTGTAAAGATTTTTATAATTTTAAATACTGGTTTTGGACTCATATCCTTAAGAATTAAAAAATGTATTGTCCCTATTTGAACTTATTTCTTCCAATACTGGGTTTTACAAAATAAACAATTTTTGATAGAACATTTTTTTTATTGAAAACGAAAATTTTACAAAAAACATCAGATTTTGTTCTAACAGCATACAAAATTCTTTAAAACTAAAAGTTTTTAGTTCTAAAGAATTCCAAAACTTTAGGGTTCTAAGAAGTATTCCTTAAATAAGAACATACCTACGTATTCTTTTTTTTTTAATTGCACCGCACAACCACGTGATTATTACTTGCATACAAAACTGAAACAGCAAAAATTATATTGTTCTAACAGATCAAAATTCTCTTCTCTCATTGGTTGGTCTGTTAGGATATTATAATTTTAAACCGTTTTTAAATAAGTGCGATAGAACAATTTAATAATGCTTTTTTTTTAGTTTGTGTATTAAATTAAACAGGCATTTTTATATACATAGAACAGAAATTTTATGTACTATTTTTCTATCAAAAAAGCCGATTTCGCGCCAAAAGTGCTGTTAGAACATTATAATACTCAACCCACGATATCTAAAAAATGAACTGACCAATTAAAAAAAAATAAAATGCCGTTTAATAGGGATTTTCAAGACCTTTAAAATAATGTAGTACTCTGTACCCCTTCTCTATTTAAATTCTTAAGGGGGTAACTCCGGGGCGCAGAAGGTAAAGGTGGGAAACCAAATTTTGCCTTAAAAAGTTTTCCCCCTCGATATAAAACTTCATCTGTCTCTGCGTTTTTTAAAATACTTCTAGTTTCCGAGAATTTAGGGGGGTTAGTTTTAAAAGGAACACACTGTATTTTAATATTAAAATATAAAATAAAATTTATTTAACAGTAAAAAGGTTCTATTAGGCAAATAGAACCTTTTTTTTGTAAAAAACTTAATTTCTGAAAAAAATTTACCTGTCCACTTTTTGCATTAACCCCTTTAATTATAATAATTATCAATAGATTTGTTTTAAAAATATCTTGTTTTCTTTATAACAGTTTGAACTCCACGTGGATAATTTAAAAATTGACATATTTTGTTGATTTGTATTCATCCTTGGCAAAGAAAATAATGTTACATTCTCATTTTTCTCCAAAAAAAACGACTTTTTCCAATATTTGAGCCCATTGAACTTAAGCTTATTAACTGATTGGTCACTAATAAGGTGATATTTGTTGGCGACTCAAATATGTTTAATTTTAAACTTTTTTCAACCAGATTGGCCATTTCTAACCCGAGATATGACCCAAATTGTAAAGCTGCTTTCTTAAAGAACCAAAATATTAAAGAAAAAATTTTATCTCAAAAACCTTGCCATAAAATTTTTTTTTTTTTTGATTTTTAAGTTTAACAGGTCACAATACATTAGAAAAAAATAGTGGCAGCGAAGGTACATTTTTTTAATTTTAATTTGTAAACCAGTGTAATCTGTGTATACAAAAGGAAAGTACCTCTGAAAAAGCTACTGCTATTTAATTTTTTTTTAAAACACCAGTAATTGCCATTATAAGCTAGTGTTTACACAAAAAAGCAAAAAAAGTACCATGGTGGTTAATAGATACTTATAGAAGGTCACTATATTACCAAACATTAAAAATTAAAGACATAACTAAGTACAATATATTTTTTTTTATTAAGATATAGAGGACTAGTAATTGCCATGACCATTTAAAAAAAAAACAGTAGTTGCCATGGCACACTGCAGTGTACCTGGCCAGTAATTGCCACTTATTTATTTTATTAAATAAAACAAAAAAAATGGAAAATGGCATACCACCTTGGCAAGCAGCCAATGCAGATTCTTTACTTTCTTGGGAATAGCGAAAAAAAGGGCTTGTTTTTTGGTTCAATGTTGATCAATTTGGATTTTATACCTGGATCGATCCATTGATCAATAATTGCCACTAAAGTGAACCAGTAATTGACAAATTCAAAAAGAGGTGGAAATTACTGGATTCTCTTTGAATATAATGTTCTTATTATTAATGTCAAGGATAAACTAAATATTATAGGTTAGTTTAGAGCTTTAATAAAGGTCATAATACGATAATCCAAAATTCTCCAGTAGGTAATTACCACAAATGGCAAATATTGGGTTAAAAGAAAAAAAATGCTCCAGTAATTGCCACTACTCTAAATCAAAATACTCTTTTAATTTAACGAACAATTTATATGCGTTTCATTTAAACTACTTAGCATATATGCCTATTGCACAAACAAAACTCAAATTGATTAACAACATATGCCAATATCACGAAAAACTAATCTTACACTTTCTTAACCAAAGTCACAAGAAATCTTTTATAAACAGCTGATTCAACAAGTTGCCTGAATATTTTTTCCTGTCGAAAAATGCGCCACCTGGTGACAGTTGTTCTAAATACATAATACGCTAGATACACTTCCTTACAAATAGGCAGTGCGCCATATGCACAGATATTGGATATAGCTTTGTTTTTGAATTTCTAAATAATAAATGGCAACTACTGGTACAGTGGCAATTACTGGTGCCTTTACCCTACATCAAAATGTAAATACTCAATATGGCGGCGACTGGGTGCTCCCACCTCTTCGCCAATCTGATGGAGTGTTGGAAACAGACGCGCAAGAACATAGGTACCTTGTTTTCTTGTACCATGATCCTGACCGATCCCTCATAACCATACATTGGCAATCCTTCGGACCGATAGGCTTTACAGATTAACTGTACTATTGCTCAATATTATAAATTGTCCCGACATCCTCCATTGTAGACCAGTGTTATTTTGTGTATTTATGTTTTAATTTCCCGCCCATTTAAAATTCATTTTCCCAGTATTAAAGCGCTGTTTGTATAACGTTGCTGACAGGAGAGCTTTGCATAATGGCGTGTCCCAAGTTAAAGAGGACGAGATCGCCGTTTTAAAAGACGAACTGAGACCGATCAAACTGTATGCATCGTTGTTCGTACAAAATGGTATAGCGGTTTTTACTGACGATCCAGAATACCAAAAGGTATAACCACTCAAGTAGAGTCCAATCGCTGTAAATTTGATACCGCAACGTCATCAGTACTGGAGTAATTAAATTGTAAAGATTCTAATCAGTTTATTAAAATATTTTTCATGAATTACCCCATACATATTCAGGAGATTAATTTAAAAATGTCGAGCCATGATTTTGGCATAACACGCAAAAAAGATTTATCCCCACTTTTTTTGATATTTCTACGTTTATCAGGTTACAAAATGGCATTCTTATTAACCTTTTATAAAAAAATAGATTTTTAATAAAATTAAATAAAATAACGCTTAGAAAATATTTAAAATGTTGTTTAATTTAGGCTTTTTAGTAATTTTCAATTTTGAACGAAAAACTGATTAAAGTTTTTTAAGCGGAGATTTGGAGATTTAAAAACGATATTTACCAAAATTCTAACTGATTTTTTTAAAATTTGTTAAAAAATCATTTTTTTTTAATTATTTGTTTATTGCAAAGTCTACCTTTGCCAGAGTACACATTTGTATACCGATTTTTATTGATTGCAGTTTCTTGTTCGGGACCCTTTGGTAACTTTAAAATTTTAAAAAAATCATGAATTTTCAAAAAATTTCGAAAGAGGAGCAGCTAGGATTTTGGTAAATATCATTTTTAAGTCACCAAAGGGTCCCAAACAAACTGCTATCAGTTTTTGGCGGCATTTTTATGTGACTTAATTTGTATTTTTCTACTCCTATTACGGAACATGGCCGTTCTTACATAACTTTTTAATATGGAATTACATATATTCCTTAAAATGAATTATTTTATCATCGTATGACGGAATAAACACTGGTAGAGCAGTATTAAATTTTTTCTATCAAAGTTACGTGATGGGAGCATGTTCTTTGTTGTGTGTCGATGTTGCCAAATTTATTTATTTTTTGAATAGCATTATTAATTAACGGTTTTTCTTCCCTACCGCATAAAAATTTCTGATTTTTATTAACAAAATTATCAGCAAAATTGGAAATTGCATAGCTAAAACGGGCAAAAATGCGACACAAACATTGCATCTTTAGAAGGCTGTATCTTGAGTAAGAAGACTAGCAGAACATTTTCGTTTACATTTTTATACTCTCTTAAGCGTGGTCCGACCCTTTTCAATCACCCTGTATATTGTTTTATGTGTATGGGTACACGCACAAATTCACAATTATGAAACTAGAAATAGAGACAAAATGGTTCCACCTAAATGTCGTTTGCAAGTCTCAGAACAATTTTGTATATTTGAGAATGCCACTACTAAAATTTAATAATCTATCAGAAGATATCAGAAACATGGACACAACATTTTTTAAAAAGACTAAAAATATTCTTTATATATAAATTTTGAAGGTAAATAAATCTCTATCTCTCTAAAAATTTAATTTATTGGAATAATCCAATTAACAATTTAATTACTCCAAAAGGCTGATAACGCTGCAGTATCAAACTTACAGCATTTGGACTCTAAAACTTACTATTCAGTAGATTAGTTATGCTAACTATATTATAATAACTATTAATGGTAGTATTATCCAGATCTACAGTTTTCAAACAAATAGTTAAGATTTTTTGGTTCCCAGATGTTGCAATATTTTTGTTAGCTCATTAAATCCTACCTATCTTTTCAGCATACGTACAATTATAATAAGGACGGTTTAGGGTGTGTAATATAATATTTATTCTACCTTTTACAACTATTGCAGAAAAACATCGATATCACTTACAAAAGTCACATTCTCCCCTTCGAATCGCGATATGTTTTTTTAAAATTTGACCTTTACAAGGTGTCCCTTAGTGGCATAAATTTAGGAGCAGATTAAGCAAGTCAAAATAAGACGAAAAACTTAATAAATATTTTTCCTAATTACGCCTGTTTAAAAGATACAGTGTTACTTATATCAGTTTTTTTTAATGTTACTTCTACTATGGTAGACTTGGAAAGGTGATATTTTGCGAACAGTCACTTACTACCAAAACACATATTCACACATAATTACAATTGTTCGAGTGAACACAGTGTCGTAGAAACAGGGGTTGCTTAATCTTATTGTCCCATACAAACTTTGAGGTTAAGTTTTATACCATTTGATGCAATTTTTCGATTACTGAGTTCGGATACTATTAAAAAGGTGTTCTACTCAAACTTCGATAAAATACTATACTATGGTAGTCTTGGAAAGGTGATATTTTGCGAACAGTCACTTATTACCAAAACACATAATTATTGTTTGAGTGAACACAGTGTCGTAGAAACGGGGGTTGCTTTAAGCTTATTTTCCCTTACAAAATTTGAGGTTAGGTTTTTATACCATTTGATACAATTTTTAGATTACACAGTTTGGCTGCCATTAAAAAGGTGTACCCAGGCCCGGATTTAGAAATTTTCCGCCCCTAGGCAGTTGCAAAAATTGCCGCCCCCCCTCGAAACTTCTTCAATGGTAGAAAGTTTGGTACGAAGTTTTTCAATAAATAAAATGCACCTTTCTGAGAGCAAATACTTTATTTTATTATTTAGTATCCTTATAATCATGAAGTATATAATATCATTTCACAATTAACATAATGTATACGATTGTTTTTTATAGAGAAATTATTGCTTATTGGTTGAAATTTTTACGTCTCGATTTTTGGATGGCAAACTCATCGATAATGGAATCAAAATCTAAAGACATGAGCAAATCTGACTCTATAGTTAACAAAGCGAGTGCGTTTAATCGTTCTGCAACCAGTTTTGATCTTAAGTAGTTTTTCACTCGCCGCAGTACAGAAAATGATCGTTCAGCGCTACAATTTGATACGGGTGTGCAAACGAGCATTCCGTACGCTATATCAACATTCGGAAAAACTGTGTGGAGCTCATTGCTTCTTAGTAATTTGAGCAGATCCATAGAAGAATTTTTTTCCATATTCTTTTTGACGCAATAACTTTTAAATAAAATCAATTCATTTGCGAACAATGCTTCGATATCTTGATCGTAGAAATTTATCAGTTGAGCAGATTTTTCATTCAAACAATGCATGTCTGTAATGACTGAAAATGTATGATAAAGAACTTTGTACGCTTTTTCTCTTTTTTGTAATTCAGATAAAATTTTGTCTAAAATGACATTGAAGGTATTTATTTTGAAGTTTTCCCGACCAACAAGTTCAACTTCCCCATCTCTAGATTCATCGCATCTTATTTTTCTCGTCTTTTTTCGCGTAGTAACCGTTTTATATTCTTTGTTCTTGGAAATAGCGAACGCTTTCTCTTCATACGAGTCAAAATCTTTACGCGTATCACTAATCATTTTGTTCAGCCCTTCTAAAAGTTCAATTACCTCAACAATACCTAGTTGTCTTGACATTTTGTAATTTTTTACTCACAGAATTCATGGATAACAGGAAGCTCCACAACTGTTGCATAAACGCAGTTTCTAATGATTCAAGTTGTTGTAGAATGCCCAATGCTTCGTTTCGCGTCGTACATTTTTCAACGATATCATCTTCCATTTCTTCTAAAGCTGAGATGACTGCTGAGAAATGATGTTCAAGAGCGTGAACGGCATCATCTTGAGCTGACCAACGAGTGCCTAAAAGTGACTTTACAGTAACTATGCGTCCAGATTAAGAATTTGCACAGTGTTTTGTCAAGATTTCCCAGCAGTGGGTTGACGCAGAAAAAAAATTGTACACGTTTTGGATCGTTGCAAAATACGTTACGGTCATCGGACAACTTTCTGCCGCATGTTTTCCAACTAAATTCAAAGAATGAGCAGCACAAGGCGTATAATCGGCGTATTTGTTGGTTTCTTTGATTCTCGCTTGAAGTCCTGTGTACGGCCCAGACATGTTTGCAGCGGTATCGTACGCTTGTCCTCGACAATCGTTGATGTTGATGCTAAGGGATTCGTGCGTTGACAGAATTGCATTTTCAAGATTCTCAACTTTGTGTCCTGGATTTTCGATAAATGGAAGGAAACGCTCCACAGGATCTCCATTATCTTTCACATATCTTATGATGAATGACAGCTGATCCACATGAGAAATATCAGGAGAAGAGTCTACAATTATCGAGTAGTATTTGCCTATCTTGATTTCTTTGACCATTTCGTCCAGGACTTTTTTCCCATAAGCTCGATAAACTCATTGGAAATTGTTTTTGATAAATAATTTGTTCTGCCGCTACCTTTATTCCCAAATCTAGTAATATGTTCGGCGAGGAATGGATCGAATTGAGCGATTAATTCTAGTAGCATCATGTAGTTGCCGTTATGTTATGAACCGAATTTTTTGTCGTCACCTCTGAATGGAAGTCCCCGTGAGGCTAAAGCTTTTATTACGGCCACGACTCTTTTCAAAACATTTCGACAGTAAGAGATTTCTTGCTCATATAAAAGTGTGATATTTGCATCGATTCTTCCCTGGATTTGAGCTCTGTCCTTGAATTGAGTACTGCAATCATGATGGCCGTTGGAATTTTCGTGAAGTGTGATGCGATGTCCAGCATTCTTCCAGTCGTTGAATCCATCGTTGGCAAAAGACGATTTCTCCCCAAATAAAAGGCATGGAACGCAATAAACTCTGCCTTTGCTAACGGAGTAGGCAAGCCACGGTCGTAGAGTTTTTTCGCCATTCAAGAGGGTTCGGTGAAAGAAAGAAGCCGAAAAGTAGCGCGTCCAGTCATTATACATCCTTTTGATGTTCTGATCGAAACGGTTCCGAGTTATATGGTCACGAAGTTCGTCATTGAAAATCCATGTTGCGGGATCAGCGGGATCATTTATTTGTAAGATTTATTTGCCAGGAATATTGTTCGCGTTCTCGTTAGGTGAAATATCTTCGTCGACTGTCATTTCAAGTTCTTTCGTTTCTGTATGCGAATCTGACACGGTGTCAGAGTCATTTTCACGGTGACAGTTGGAATCTGCACAAATAAAAAGAAACAACATCTTTAGCGAAAAGTGAAAATTTTAATTATATCCGTAAAAATTTCTGAAATAATTGTT